AGTACTAATCAGCTGTAAAATTCTTGAGTCTTGTTCTTGAAAACTTGAAGGGTACTCCGACCCTAGGCGGCCAGTCCAATCTACTGGCAAAGGCCTTTAGGGTATACGACCCTCGGCCCGGAGTCTGTACCACTCCGGAGAGGTGGCCGTTTCAGCAGTCTAAACAAACACAGGCCCTGCGTTTGCTGGCTATAACTTCGTTCGGGATATCCACCGAGTTTATCAGTTGATAAACCAAGGCCGGTCCTTACCCTATAGAAGTGTTCACCTTGACGTTCCAAGCAGCCACAGACAACCAACAGTAATGTCAATCCAATCCCCTTACCGAGCAACCGACGCAGTGTTCCTGTTAGTCTTGATAAATTGACGACCGATCTCCAGGATTGGGCTACTTTTGCTTAAGCCACCAACGTCCCCACGCAATGCAGCGATTAGTCGGATCTCAGATTCGAGTGCAGCCTACTCCGAAGAGGACACTATACTGGGCGCGGGGTTTTAACCGTTCGGTCACTATTCCCTGGAACGTCGTTGTCTAGCACAGTCAATGCGTGAACAAAGATTGCTATTCAAGAGTATCCTGCATGACAGTACCACTGGGTGCTCAGGGCATTAACTGTTCCAGCGCCAGGTGCCAATACACCAGCCACGCGAGACTTGTTAGGTCCCTGCTCGCTTTTTGCGAGATCACGCAAGACGAAGATTTCGGCGAGCCGTAGCACCAGATCCAATGAGAACTATCAATAAACTTGAACAGGAATCACGACGAGTTTTAGAAGTGTTTGAGTGACCAACAGCCTTTGGGCGGGTGTGTGCTGTGACGAGTGTCACGGCAACTGCAGTTCGGGAATAAGCAGTGAGGTAGAGTTGTGCTGCGTCGAGAGGCGGAGCGGTATCGAGCCCGAAAGGCAGGACGGTGCTGGGCTGGAAATGCGGACCGGAGCAGATCACAGAAGACGAGGCAGCCCCGAGCGGGAGGAGGGGCGGTGCCGAGCGACAGGAGAAGCGATGCCGAGCGACAGGAGGAGCGGTGCCGAGCGAAAGAGGCGGCGGCGGTTCCGGGGGAGAGAGAGGCGGGGCGATGCCGAGCGAGAGAGGCGGAGCGGTGCCGAGCGAAAGAGGCGGCGGCGGTTCCGAGAGAGAGAGAGGCGGGGCCATGCCGAGCGAGAGAGGCGGAGTGGTGCCGAGGGAGGAAGCGGAGCGGTGTAGGGCGGGAGGTTGGTAGTAAACACAGTACTTACTAATTAGTGTCGTACACTGTGAGACTCTGTTCGCTACAGGCCTTCGACCGGCCTGTTTCTTCCTTTGGCGCTGTCCGTCGGCGGAGAGTGCGCAAAAAGAGAAGAGGTTTCTGCAAAAAGAGTCGTCGGTGAGCGAGCGGCGGTCGCAAGCCAGGGACGAACTCACTTTATTAGGAGCTGGAAAGTAGTAGAAGTTGATTGAATCGCCTGAAAATAAACTCAAATAAAAGACTAAACGGAACCAAGCGAGCACGATATTCTAGACATCTATTGTCAAGAATATGAGAGTGCATTCCTACCCCGTCACCATTACAGGGAGCGGTGGGAAGGAGGATGGCCTAGGAATTGAAGATGGGTACGAAAAATAGTACAGCAGGGTACGCCTAACACGTGTATACTTGTTGAAATGTAATTATTATAATACTTATAATTATATACTTATTATTTCAATTGTTTCCGAGCACCGGTAACACATCCATTGCTCTCGTCGGCGCCGCGATGGCCTCCGCCCCCGGCCGGAGAAGGAGGGAGGCAGACGGTGCCGAAAGGTAGATTTGTGAGGCAGAGTTGCAGTCGAGTGCGCACCGGCTGTGACCGATGTCGACTCGGCATTAATCGAACATACTCATCCGTGTGTTACCGGAGCTCCGCTTCAAGTGAAGCAGAGTAGGCGACTTTCTTTCGCGCCCGACGTATGAGAAAGCACCCGCAAGCACCGGCCTGCACGACGCAGCAGGACATCGCTCGCAGGGCGCGCTCAGACGTGGCGCGTCCCAGCGCGCCGGTGCGGCTGACGAGCCCACTGCTGGGCGAGGGCCAGCGATAGAACCTGACGGCGATCCGTGCGCGCGACGCAGTGATGTTCAAGCCTGTCAAGGACGAGCTGAGCCTGCTGCCGGCGCTGGACGTGGAGGCCGTTGCCACGGCCTGCGCGTTGTGTGTCGCCGACGTCGGCACGGGCGCGGGGTTCCCGGGCCGTCGTCTCGGCCACGCGAGGCCGCAGTGGGGCGTCGCTCTGCTCGAGACCGGGCGCAAGAAGGAGACGCGCTTCCACGGCACCGCGGGGCGCGAGCTGGCCGGCCCTGCCCGACGTCACGTCGATGTGGGGGAGGGCAGAGGAGGTTCGAGCAGAGTGAGATGCATGGCGGGCGGTAGGATGCGGTGGTGGGGCTGTCGCTGGCGGAGATGCTCGTTTGCTGCGAACTTTGCTTGCCGCTGGCCAAGGTGGGGGGCACGTTTTTCGCGCAGGAGAGCGTGGGTGAGGGGGGGTTCCGCAGAGTTGGGCTGCTGGAGGTGCTCCCAAGGCGGACAAGACGCGAGGGCACAAGGCGCTCGTGGCGGATTCTGGCGGCGACGGCCGGGTAGATCTGATGTTGAGCAAAGGGCCTCACAAGGAAAATTCGGGGAGATATGAGCTGATGAGGAGGCGACGAGGAGCCCCGTCGCGCCCAGCACTCCAGATTGCGCGCACGTTGGACGATGGTTACCAAATCATTTGTTTCGTTCTCCCTCAAAATGGGAGCTATGAACAGACACCCGCCCAGCGGAACGACCGGGTTCCCGGGGGCGAGGAAACTACCCCATAGACCGGTCTAGAGTCTATAGGGTAGTTTCCTCGCCGTCTATAGTATAGAGTCTATACCGGTCTATACTATAGACCGGTATGTCCTACCGTAATTCAAATTTTGACAGCAACTGTCATTGCTGGGGGTGGCGGAAGGTATGAGGAAACTTCGCTGTGCATAATATGCATGCACGGGCATAGCAAGTGGGGGGCGTACAAGTGGAAGCGAGGAGCAGGTGCGTCCTCTCTCATACGCGATGCCCGCGCAGGAAGGGCAGTCTGAATTGGAAACGGTCTGCGACGTGAGGGCGGATCGGCGAATGGAAGTGTCACTGAAACGTGTTACACGTGGCATTTCTTCTTTCGTGCATCACTATGCCAGATTTCGACAATGGAGCGAGAAGTCAAAGAGTTGCATGATCTGCAGATGGATCATGTAAAGGTAAAGGATTTATAGGGGTGACGGATGCAAGAGAAGATACGCAAGGTAGAGACGAAGGCGGGGGGAAGGTGAGTCGGGCTTGAACGGGTGCGAGCTCATGCAAGAACAAGAACGAGTGAACCGCCAAGCGGACAAGAATTTCCCCTCAGAGTTGTACCTCCTTTTCTTTTCCCGTCTCACGGAATTAGGTAGTACCTGCTCCTACGATAGTACTTCTCTTATTCCGCATCCGGTCTATTACACACTGCGGTGCCAGACTCACTGCCGTCGTGCGGCGGCGCAAAGTGTCCAACGGTACATTTAAGCTAGACCGCCTGTCTCGGAGTGAAAGAGCATCGATTCGTCTTCTTCTTCATCCCATGCAATTGCACAACGAGGCATGCAAGGGAAGGGGGATGGGCACGACGAGGGTCCGAAAGGGTTAGCAATCCGAGGCGTCGTCGATGGAGTTGACCATGATGGCGACATGTGCGCCGCTGTCGGCGTCGACGACTACGCGAGGGCGAGGGTCGGACGCGGACTGGGCAGGTGAACGTGATCTTCGACGGTGACAGGAATCAAAAGCCCACTTGAGGAGAAGCCCGAGGAAAGTGGCGAGGATAGGTCCGACGAGTCCAAAAGTGGGGTTCAGCACGGCCCAGAGGGAAGACTGCTCGTCCATAGCTGGCGGGAGAACTGGCGGGAGAAATGGCGGAAGAAGGGAGCGGGCGGCGGTAGGGGCGTCTGTTTGCAATGGGGAGGGAGGGAGTGGTGGGTTGGAGGGGATGGGAAAGGGGGAGCGGACGAACTGCGGTGGTAGACATCGCGCTCTTATACTGCGGGGCACGACACAGCTTCGGTGAGCGCTCTATGTGCTCGCGCTTCATCACTGTCTGAGAAAACTATAGACCGGGGTTCCGGGGGGCGAGGAAACTATAGGGCGAGGAAACTATGGACCCAGGGTGCGAGGAAACTATAGACCGGTTTTCCAGGGGGCGAGGAAACTATAGTTTTCCGCAGGCGAGGAAACTATAGACACAGTATGCTTAATTGAATAGTCATTGTTGCGAATGCTATCTCATATTGACGGAAATCTAGGGACAAGTGTCATGCTCGGACTGGATACGTTAAGTCTGCGATGTGTGAGACGGTATACGTGCGGGGATGGCAGTGGCAACTGATGACCAGATAGCGTAGCTGATGCGTTGTTGTAGACTTGAACTTCACGGTGCAACTATAGACTGGTTTTCCGGGGGGGACGTCCAGCAAGAACCTGTTTGCTGTATTTTTAGGGGGGCGAGGAAACTATAGACTGGATTGCTGCATAGCGTCGTACTGCCGGCAAAAACCGTGTTTGCTGCGTTTTTTTTTGCGGGAGCGAGGAAACTATAGGACCTGTTTGCTGTACCGTTTTAGTCTTTTCGCCGGCTGACTGTATGTCCTACCGTAATTCAAATTTTTAACATCAACTGTCATTGCTGGGGGTGGCGAAAGGTACAGTATGAGGAAACTTCGCTGCACAGCGAGGTTTCCTCATCCCTCTTCCATTCTTACGCGATGTGCACTGCATATCGCGTAAGAATGGGAGACGGAGAACCCGGTGACTAGACTAACCAGGCGGCTCTCATCTCGATTACAGAACAGTACAAATGGGCTCCGTGGCGCGGGTTACGCGCCGCAAGTGGGGAGGAATGCGAAAGGGTTTGAATGCAATAATGTTTCTGGAATGACAGTTCCAAATAAATGGAATGGAGTGCATAAGGGCACGGGGTATTTGAGGAAACGTTAAGTACTGTAACGGTGTACTTGAAGCTTTATTCTTACCGCTCTTCCGCCCGCGCTTCTTCTCCATCCCCACCGTCGACACAAACATAAACGTCAGCTCGCCGCGCCCGTCGCGCTCGTCGAACCTCACGCTGCTCGTGTTCATCACCCGCCCCTCCCGCTCCTTCTTCGCCAGCGCCTCCTGCACGACCGCGGCCACCGCCTTCCCCTTCTCGTGCTGCATCCTCGTCTTCCACTCCGCCTCCTTCTTGATCTCCTGCAGCCGCTTCCGCTCCGCCTCTTCGGTCTCGCGCTTCATCTTCCCCATCACCACCGACGCCTTCCGCGCCTGCTTGGCCGCCGGCGCCCCCTCCTCCTCCGCCGTCTTCGTCCACCGCCGCTCCTGCTCGCGCTTCAACTTCTTCTGCGCGCTCTCCTTCACCCGCTCCAGCTTACTCTCCAGCCCCGAGATCATCGTCGTCGCCTTCTTCAGCAGCTTGCGCGCCATCTCATGGATCTCGCTCTTCGGGTCGTTGTAGTCCATGCAGTTCCCAAGCAGAGCCGGATATCAATTCCGCACTCTTCCTGGTCAAATTCAAACACCCGGCGCGTTTCCTTGATATGTTCCCCTCCCTTAATTCTCTTCTCAATAGTCCCAAGGTCCATCGGCCGTTTAATCTGCTGCCTATACTCGGGCACTTCCTCGTCGTCATACACCTCGAGCACCGGCTTGAGAAACTCCTCGCACCGCGGGTCCTGCACGAGCTCCTCGACCAGCGCGTCGAAGAACGCGTACTGCTCTCCGCTGCGCACCGCCTCCTTCATCACCTCACGCTGCCGCTTGCCCGGCCCCAACAGGTTCTGGTCCAGCATCGCGTAGCTCGCGTTCCCGTGGTCCATCACCTCCTCCTCCTAGGCCGCCGCCTTGTGCGACTAGGATCCCGCGCCGCCAGCCGAACGCGCGCCGGCTGGGCGCGGAGGGCGGAGGCACGTCCACCGCATCGTCCGCGGGAGAGAAAGGCGCTGCCGTGGCGCTCGAATAGCGCTGCCGCGAGCGACGGTCTGTGGGCATGATGTCGCTATGAAAGGGGTAGAGTGAGGGCGGAGTGCGTGTGTGTCGCGTGCGGGAAGGGGCGGAGAGGTGAGGAAGGATGGGCTACCCTAGGTAGCCCAACCTTGGTAGTACTTGTACGGGAGTGCCAAACGTCTGAGTGTCGCGTGC